AATACACAATGATTCAAGTTAAATACACAACAGTTTGAGTTAAATACACAATGATTCAAGTTAATTACACAATACTACTTATACAGTATAATACAATAATACTGTTCCAGCTTATGTACAAATTCGAGTTAAGGACAGACCTTGGAAATGGAACTTGTTCTTAAACTGGGGACTACCTATATTCATAAATAAGAACAAGTGCAAAAGACAGGGTGGAAGAAGATCTTCCACATGTTTTGACCCAAGAGCAGTCTCTAAAATATCTCTGAGCAACTGTGTGCCTTTGTCATTTAAGTAAAAAAATAAATAAATAAAAATTAATCAGGACTTGCAAAGTAAACGATATAGAATATGAAACAATTTGTGCATGGGAAGGGTTGTGAAGATAAGATTTATTTATTTATTTATATATCACATTTACATAGCCACCCATCTCACACAAAATGACTCACACAAAGGATGAGATACAGACTTGTCAGTGTTACTGTCATTAAATTGTGTGTAAATTAGGAATTATTCATATTTAAGTGCAGACAATCTGTTGAGTTGAATGATCTTTCACAGAAAAGGAAAAATGGCTGTTGCAAGTGGGATTTATGATCAGGTGTTTATTAATTTATACAGACATTTATATATGACCTACCTCCAAGACTCAAGTGGTTTACAATACAGTAAATATATTTTATTTATTTTAAAATGATACACAGAGAAAGAGATATAGACGTTTCAGAATCACCACATAATATATACCACAGCACACACAAACACACCCATAAATGATGATAACAGATACAGATATATCGCAATCACATAAACACAGAGACTCTTCCACTTTAAAAAATAAGATGTGAAAGAATACTATTAATTCCCCAAACCTTCTCCCTGTAGCTTCTCCATGGGCATTACATGCATATTTAGGCTATTGGTTATCTGCAAGGATAACCCTTTAAAGATATAATCTTCTGGCATCCAGAGAATTATTAAGTAGTGACACTTAATTGCAGAAGGCAATATCCAATGGCAAATATCTTACCTTTTTTCTTTGGGCCATGTCCCTACGTATCCATCCATGTAGGACATAGATGTTGATCTTTTAATGCTGCCTGTTTGAAATCAGCATAGAATACAATATAAGGATAATTCTTTGGAAAGTTTTGAAAAGAAAATATAAACAGAAAGCAATGACTTAATTGGCTTAGAAAGTGAAAATGGATTTTTGGCACTGATATATAAAGCAAGTTACATAAATTAAATACATGCATTTGTAGCTCTGCGAGGAGGGTAGAAAGGGTGGCACATCAGCTGCATACAGCTTGGCAGAACATCTGGTGAGACCTGCAAAGTTGTCTTGGTTCCCCAACTTTGTCTCTCCCCACATCCACTCACCTCTTCTCCAGCCTCCCTTCAGTGCCTTTATAAACAACCACTTCCCTACCCTACTAAAAGGCTGCAGATTCTCCCTCTGACCTTTTAAAAAAATAAGTCCTGTACTGATTAAAAAACAACAACTATTTTTTTATCTTTTGGAGGAGAGAGAGAGAGACAGAGAGACAGAGAGAGGGAGCGCATGCAGCAGAGGGAGCTAGGACATTGAAACAGAAAACAAGACCCTGTACTAGTAAATAAAAGTAAAAGTAAAGTAAAACAAAAACAAAAAACAAAAGGGCCCAAATGCTTTTGGAGCAAAGCCCTCAACATGTAACTTGTATTACCACTTATATAATCAACATCTTAACTAAACTGAATTTAATTCTCAATGACATTAAATTATATCAGCACCATTCTGCATGTTTCTACTGTTCATACTGAACATGAATTATATTTATGCATTCCTTCCCAATTTAAAAATGCAGAAAATAAAATTAAGTACTTAAATAAAGTTATATTATCGACAAAATGATTAGCTCTATAGAATAATTCTACCAATTCTGTTTGTTTATTCCCAAAATATACAAGGTGATCCCATGAAAGTGTCATGAACCTGTCTCCTCTGTCCTACATTATTACAGAGTAACGAGGGCCAGTAATAATCTTCAGTTGTTATCAAAAGCTGGGATAGTTAAATCATTCTCTGCATGCAGAAAGCAACTTTCTCTTGATGAACTACTTTTATATATTAGAGAGTCACCATGTGATTATAGACCCTGATTTTCCAGTATCCACAACTGTCATCATAGAAAAGGTTCTCCACTAGATCACTGCCCTCTAAACACAGATGTATAGCGTTGGGGATGTTCTCATTTTTGATAATGATTGAAATGGACAAGAGTAGAGCACTGAACTAAGTATCAAACTTGGAATGGAAGAACAAGGCCAAAATCCTACTGTAGGAATGAAATTATCTGGGTGATGCTGGGTCAATTAAGGCCTGTAGCCTAACATATTTCACTGGCAAACATTTGAGAGTGGGGAAGAGAAGATCATCTGTACCTTTTTTTAAAGAAGAAGTTAAATAATATATATATTTTTTAATTCTAAGTCATGTTTTGCACTGCATGAAGATTATTTGTGATTCTAAGAACAGTTTGGAAAAACATTCTCTTTTGATGAATGATGAAATAGCAGAATCTGAATAGCTCAAAATCCAGTCACTTATATGTTGGTACCTGGAACAGATGAGTAAGGCTGTTGCTGAGTGTGCCTTGCAGGAGGAATCTGATGAGATGGTATAAAAGTTGAAGTCCCCACACTGAAAAATGAGAAAACCCACCAACTTGTTAGTTTTCTATTTCTGTCACTTGAAAAAATATGCAGTCCTGAACACTTGTTAAGCAGCAACTTTGCATTATTTATTTATTATTCTGCCTTATACATTGCTTCACTTGCAACCAACTCTAGAAAGCATACATTCCATATGAGTAACAAAAATTAAAACACTAAGTAACATAATAAATCATTAATCCTGTCCTGCTGGGGAAACACTATTCAAAGCTGGAAGGGAGCGATATCCAATTCAGTGCCCCAGTGACCTTCTTAATGAATAAGAAATCAGGAGAATTATTTTTCCAGATTAAAAAAAATCAGTACAATCTTTGCCCCTTGAGAAGGTATTCAGCATTACTTTTATTGCTATAGCAATCTGTATGCATGCTTTCTGTTTAATTCAATGAACTGAACATAATTTTCTGATCATACAGAACCACAAAATCTAAGAGGGCTATCATCTTCACTACAACAGCACACTCTCTTAAAATATCACCTGTGTTGCAAATATTATGGTATTTTAAGCCTTTTCTATGTATTATTCATTGTTTCTTATATTTATATCCCATATTTCAATTAATAAAATCAAGACATTATCTGTAGGACACCCCTCACTTTTAAGCTTTGTAAAATAGATTGGACTGAGACATGGTGACTGGCCTAACATTACCAAGGAATGTAGGCCCCTCTGCTCCTAGTCTAATAATTCTAATCACTATATCATTCTGTTTTCTAGATACATTATAAAGTAAGACGGACAGAAAGATAGTTTCAGATTCTTATAGCCCTGCTAACATTTTGAGAGACATGAAAAGCTGTTAGATGTGATATATGGCAGGATAGATTGTCTACTGTTACTTTTATCTCAGACAAATATTATGCATGCCACTTTCCAAATATATATAAAATTAACTGACTTCTACTGATAATTAACAGTAGGGTCCATCAGATACTTAACAAGTTTTTTGTACTCTAGAAGGAACACTATTGATTTAAGCTAGAAAAAAATCTGTAGAATAATTAATCTGCATTGGAATGACACTGAAATTCAGTAGATCACTAGTTTTGAAAATGTATCTTGGCAACCCTTGGGCCTTGCTCAGAAGCCTAGTAAAGTTTTGTTTACAAGACAATCTGCACAAGTCAGTTCCCACATGATATAGCCATCTTCTGCAATGGCACCTTAATGACTGATATACTGTACATCCTGCAACATAAGCATTTACAGTACATGCTACCTCAATATGTTGAGGACAGAACACCAGCGTTTTGCATATCTTTAGTTCTGCCACCTTTAGTTTTTAACTCACAAGGGCCTTCTCTACATCAATTGGAGGGTATAGCAAGATTCATCTCCTTTTCTATGATGCTCCAAAGAGAAAAGCACAAATTTTCCACAGCTCATTGAGAGAGGGGGGAAAGGGAGATAGGGGGAGAGAAAGAGAAAGATTGAGAGAGATGCCCAAGTGAAACAATATAAATGAGTACAAAAATTGTGGACTTATACCTGGTTATCAGATCAGAACCATGCAAAACACCCGGGTAACTTCTTTGATTGGCATTTGTAGGAGGAACAGAAGATGCTTCTTTTGGAGGTTCAGCTGCACAGAAAATAAGTACTTCATGCATTATGGTTGTAAAAGTGAAGACACAGACAAAACTTCAATTGGTCCAGTATGCACCTATTAGGGAGCTCATCTCATTTTAGTTGCCAATCTCATTTTGTCATCGATTACTATTAGGAGCTCATGGAAATCTTGATGTTAAAGTGAGATGGGCAACTTTTTTTCTGTCGGGAGCTCTGTATTGAATCTGAAGCACGGCAATAGATAGAGCTGTAAAATTTGCTCCAGGATACAAGTCAACTTGCTAGACCTATAAAGTTCATCCCACCCTCATCCTAAGTTCAGATACAGCAATTTTTTCTGCATCCTGACAAAGAAGGATGATTAGCTAGGTGGTAGAAAAGAGAGGGTCCACAATTGTAGAACTGTCCTCTGTGGGAGGTTCATTTGTTCACACCTTTTCTTCTTTAGTTTCTAGCATCAGAGGAACATAGTTTTATTCAGAGTAGTTTAACTCTGCTGTTTTAATTATCTGCTCTGCTGTTTTTGGTGTTTTTTGATAGTTTAATGACTTTAAAAAAGGATTTAGTGTTCTTTGAGTCTTCTTCTTCTTTGCGTTTGTCCTGTTTAATTGCCGAATCTGCTTGTTTTGCACTGCACTTGCCTAGTTCACATAGCAAAGCTAACAATTCATGATATGATGAGAGGTTTTGTTTTTCAGATGACTTGTGGCAGAGCCTGATACTGATTAAGGCTGAGAGAGTGAGTGACTGGCCCAACATCACCTAGCTGGCTTCTGTGCTTAGGGTTAGACTAGAACTTGAGTTTCCCTACTCCTAGTCCAGCAGCTTAACCACATCACACCGGCTCTCAAAGCTTCATCATGGTCCTGCCAGACTGCCAGTGTGGTCAGCAACAGCAATGGCTCTACCCCTTCCATGCAGTTTCTGACAGACAAACAGACATGCAGTTCACTGCTATCCAGGGGAATCACTATGGCGTAGTAGTTTAGATGATGGATTAGGAGTGGGAAAACCCAGGTTGTCGTCTTCTCTTAGGCATGGAAGCTGGCTGGGTGATGTTGGGCTAATCACTCCCTTTCAGCCCTAAGCAATATCAGGTTCTGTGACAAGATGGCTGAAAAATAAAATGCAATCCCTGTTGCATCATGGATTGATAGCTTCACTGTGTGAAAAAGCAGATCCTGAAACCAAGCAGGACAAATGCTAGAAACAACAACAAGAATTCTTTGAATGCTCTTACTTGAAGTTCTACTTTAGTAAACAAAAGGACATAATATAAATTATAGGGCTGTACAGAGATCCGGATGCAAAGGGATAGTATTGTCCCTTAATGCACGAGCCAAGACATGAGATATACAAGTGAACTTAAAAATCTTTCTTAAGTTAAATTATTTATCTACCTAATCTATTATCGTTCTGCTTTGGTAGCACTTCTTCTGCTTCAATTCCTAAAAAGTCTTCCTTTAAAAAGAAAAGGGTGTGGGTAGGGAATGGGAGTTGCCATGATTCAACCTGGAATATTCTGCTTAAAGAACACATGATCTACCACTAAATCTCCTGTTGTTTGTCATACTATAAAAGCAGGACTTAAATAAGTTATTTCCCCATATCCTGAACAGTGTAGCCAATACTAAGAGGCTTTTGTATTTCACCAGTTCAGAAATATGGTCCATGTTAAACAGCAGATGCTGAACAGAGGATCACAGAAACTTACCTTGAGGATGACCTACAACTCGAGGCTGGACAAATGATGGCTTCACAACTTCAAACCACCAGAACAGCTCTGCCATGAACACTAAATAATTACTCTGTAAATAAGAGAAATTAGTGTTAACATATAGGTTCTGAAGAAGGGAATTCATGGTATCCAGGTTACCCACCATTACAACTTTATACTGAGATTTTGAGTAAGAGATGTTATACACTTGACACGATAACTATAATGGGAAACTTTAAATCAGAAATAAACCACCTGCTGCCACTGAGATATTTTAGACCAGTGTTTCTCAACCTCAACAACTTTAAGATGTGTAGACTTCAACTCCCAGAATTCTCCAAACAACATTAAACTTCCTTAATGCCAAGATGGGTGGAGTTAATGAGAGTTGAAGTTCAAAACATCTGAAGTGCACGACATTGTATATCCTTCAGTTAAACCTACTAACAGAAAACCATGTATTAAAAAAAAAAGGCAAACAAAAAGAAATATCAGTATTTGCACACATTTACAATTATGAAGATATTTTAATGCAACATCCTCATAATCCTTTACTTAATCTGCAATTATCCAGGCATTTCTTCCTGATGTCGGAGTTCTAGCCTGGGCAAAGTTTTTAATCAAAAGAGCAATAACGGTAAGCAAAAGAGTGTGATGGCATCAGTTTTGTTGCAAAGTCTGAAATCCAGGGCCAGATTTCTAGAAAGGGGGACCAACAGGGAGGAAGCAATTACCAAAGCAGAAACCCATCAGAAGTAGATTCCTGTTCACATGAGCCTATGGTAGTTGCCTTCCATTGACAACACACCATTTAAATCATCCATCAATTGATTCTCATTTGCTGTTTTAGGAATGCAGAGATTTTATAACTCATTATTTACTCGCTCATTTTGAACCTTGAGTCAAGTGCTTCAGGATGTGGCCATACTACAAAAGGGCTGTATATCCTTCAACATACATTTGGAAGAAACAATTCAAACCTTGCACAAACACTTCTCTGCCATTCAGTAAAGCAGCCTGACTTTTTACAGGCATTTGTACGAGCCTGAAAAAGAATTGTAGCTGAAAAAGAATCAAATTATGAGTCAATTCCTTAAAACAGCTGTATATTTCATCAAGCTTGTGCAAAAGCCTGAAAGAAGATCAGCTGTTCTGCTGAGTAGCATAAAGATGC